ATGATCCTGGGAGCTACACAGCAGGTGCCTGGGATCTCGGTTTCGGGCAGAAAAGGAGCAGTTAGGGATTGTGTGGCTCTGCCACCTGGCAGCTCTGTGACCTTGGGCAAGTGGCTTAACCCCGAGTCTCCGTTCTCACGTCTGGAGAACGGGATTCGTGAGAAGGAGCAGTGGAGGAATTGTGGCCACGGAAGGTCCAGGTGGAGAGAGAGGGGTGAGTCCCTTCACCTGCGCCACCAGGAGTCTCCTCCCAGGTCACAGGGAAGAAGTGACCTGAGGGCCGAAGAGGGTCCGGGCTGCGGACGCCAAGGGCTGCGAAGGCAGAGGCTCCCATTCCAGAGGCGTCTCAGCTCTCAGACCCCTGGGAGCTCTCTGCGGTCGGTACCGCGAGGGTCTCCTGCGGGAGGGACAGCAGGTCCGCACAGACTGGCCAAGCAGTGTCAGGGCGTGCGTTCTAGGCTCCGGTGGAGGCTTCCAGAATAAAGGGGTGTGTGTGTGTGTGCGTGTGCGTGTGTGTGTGTGCGTGCGTGCGTGTGCATGTGTTTCCTTTTCTTTTCTTGCCACCGAGCCTTTCATTTCTGAAAAGGTAAAAGCCCAATTAGATGGATTTTTGTCTTTCGTGTGGAGCTGTTTCAGGCTTTCAGAGCGTGAAACCCTATTTTGGAGCCGGTCCATCCCTCACTGAGAAGCAGCCAGGTTTGCTTTGGTTCTGTTTTTTCTGGTTGGGTTTTTCTCAAGAGCCCTTGGCTAAGTCAATACGCACGAAGGGGATTTGTAGTCAGTTCCGGCTGTCCGTGCAATGTGGGTCCGAATGGATTTCCTTCTTTCTTTTTTTCATGTAGCAAAATCTAGTACAATGATACCTAGTTGGGCTGGCTTTTCTTACCGGCATCTGGGGAAATTCAGAGAAAGTATTTTCTTACACTGTACACCGAACCCGAACCTTCCTGAAGTCCTCTCTTAATTCTGCCACACAACTTGGAACTAATGTTCTTTTTTTTCCTCAACTTCCCAGAATCGCTGTAGGTGAGCTTTAACTTATATTTCACATGTTCTACGTGGCTCCAAAATCAGACCTGCTTAGAAAGCTTACGTATTTGAGAGGAGAAAAAAATACACACACACACACACACACATACACACACACACACACACACAGTCAGAAGGAATGGTCCAAACACTCTCAGATGGTTTTAGAATGAAAAAAAGTTTTAACATAAAAATATTCAAATCGTCCTGTTTGAATAGTGGATAGGCGAAGAGGCCAGGCCGGCCCCCCACCAGCGCTCAGGAAGGAAAACCAACATTTGCACAGTGACTCTGGCTTACGTTTCACACCAACCGTCTCGTCTCCGTGACAGATGAGGAAACCAAGATGCACAAAAGGCACGTGAGTCAGTCCCTGGGTCCTAGGTGACAACCTTCGGACAGACCCTTAATACCAGGCTATTCTGCGTTTCATGGAGAACACGTAGGATCTTACTAACATCTTCCCCTTACGAGGGGCGACCGAGCACACAGGGTTGAGCGGAGTCTCCAGCCACATGGCCCTGGGCAGGGAGCAGTTCTCCCACCTCTGCGGCCCCCCTCCCACCCCCACCCCTACCCCCAGGGTGGGCTCAGCTCTTGGTGGCACAGGGATCCTGGGGGCAGGCAGGACAGAGCAAGGTGGCAGTTCATCCTTCTGGCTGCTCCCTGCCGGGTTGAGGAGGGGGCTGTGTATCTCTTCCAGGGGCTTCTACTCGTGCCCACTGGCTAGCTCTCCTGACTCCCCTCGCCCATCCCTCCCTCAGTCTCCTCTGTGATGAGCAGCTCTGCACCAGCGGAGGACGCTAACCACTGTGCGGGGGGGTGGGGGGGAAGCCAGGGTCTGGGTAAGCAGCATCTGCCCCCTTCGCTGCTAGCAGCCTCAGCACCCCCGGAGCACTGGCTGAGAGAACAGGGAGGCGCCAGTGATGGCTGCGGGTTCCTAGGGGCTGTGGGTTCCGCTCCGAGCAGCTCTGCACCAGCGGGGGACGCTAACTTCACAGCAGCCTCCTTGCTCACTGACCTCAGGGCTGTGTCCTCCCTTCGAGGCACAGGGTGGGGGCTCTCCTGGCTAGACTCCTCAGCACCCCTCCTGAAATTGGGGATCTCCATAGAGTTGGCTGGGGGGAACCTTTGGTCCCCTAGGGAGGGTGGGGTGGCAGTGAGGGTCCTGGAGCCTAGGATTGTGTGGGGGGCTTTGTGCCAGGTAGGCCTCTATCTCTGCTCTCCACCAAGCAGCCCGCCCTCCTCATCAGAGAGAGAGAGAAAGGGAGAGAGAGAGAGAGAGAGAATGGGAGACTAGGTGAGCCCCAAACGTTACACCCAGATCTGGGCAGAGGCAGCGGGCATGGAATGGTGAACTAGGGTCCGTTTTTTAGCCAACCACGGGTTTCAGAAAATAGCGGGGCCACGCATGGTGTTTGGGGGCAGGAAGAGAAGGTGAAGGGAGGCACCTGAATGACCCGGGGCACCCTGCTGCTGGCACCCCTTCTCCACCGCAGAGCCAAGCGCCAGTTCCCACCGCAGCCAGCAGGGGGCAGTGCACCTTGTCGTTCGGAACCTCTGGGCTCTCTCCAGCAGTTCTGGGGAAAGAACAGGGGAGGTTCTGCCAGCAGCTTCTAGGAATGGCCCAGCTGAGAGCCCAACATGGAGTGGGTGCTCAAGACGCGTCAGATGCCGAAAGGGCTTGCCCAGGTAGAGTCATGTGTACCCAGCAGTTCAAATAGGGCCGAGAAAGGGGTGCCCAGGCCCCTGCCAGCGCCTCCCAACTTAGAGGCCTCTGGAACAGCATTTGTACCTACTACGTGCCATGCGGGTTGGTGATGACCCTGGGTTATCTCATCTCCCCCGAGGGAGGGAACCAGCCCCCAGCACCTCACACAGCAGCAGAGCGAGGGCGGGCACTCGCTGTGTCCCTGGGGGAACCCTCCGGCACAAGTGCACTGGGCATGGCGGCCCGAGAGCACGGTGGGCAGTTAGACCCAGGAGCAGAGCAGGGCCGATGGGCCAGGTACCAGCAGGCCACCAGGGCAGAAAGCACCGCCCCCCCCCCCCAGGTGCCTAGCAAAGGACTATCGTGGGGTGACCTTTCCCCCCTAGCACATTGCTGGTCATGCCCTAGAGCAGTGATGGCGAACCTATGACACGCGTGTCAGAGGTGACACGCGAACTCATTTTTTTGGTTGATTTTTCTTTGTTAAATGGCATTTAAATAAATACCAAAAATAGAAGTCTTTGTTTTACTATGGTTGCAAAGATCAAAAAATTTCAATATGTGACACGGCACCAGAGTTAAGTTAGGGTTTTTCAAAATGCTGACACGCCGAACTCAAAAGGTTCGCCATCACTGCCCTAGAGATAACATCGAGGCCTCAGTAGTATTTCAGCTCCAGGCCCAGACTAGCAGCCAAGCCAGACCAGTGACCCCAGGGCTGACGTCGGGGACCAGCTGCACTGGATAATGAGCCTGCCCTGGAGCCTGCAGAGCCATCAGTGGGGCCCGGGACCTGAGAGGACACACCTGGAAGACTGCTGGATCGTCTTATCGAAATCTCCCCCGGGGACCACTCCCCAAACCTCCATCCTTACAGCCCTGAGGACAGAGGCCTCCCTCCTCTGGGCCCCTTTCCCTCCTCCCGCCACCGCCCCAGGCACATCACCATCCTGTTCCTCACTCCCAAACTCCTAGGGCCCTTCCTCTGTCTCTGTGGCTTGCATCCTCAGCCCATTTCTTCCACAAATTACTTCCACCTCTGTGATTTCCTAAATAAATGCTCGCCTTCTAGTCTGCGTCTTGGCTCTGAATTCCTTCCTAGGGAAGTACTCCAGCACTGAGGCCCCTGAACCCCGGTCGGGTCAGACACCTGGTGCCCTTCGGTGCCTACAACGCAAGGAGGATGAGACAGGAGGGGCGAGGGGTCCCGGAGGTGAAAGCCAGAAGGAGACCTAGGGAAGAGGTCAGGGCCCTCAGGGTCAAGGCTGTCTCCCTCTGCTGGACACAGGAGCCAGGGAGACAGACACAGTGACTCACCAGCCCCCAGCCAGCCACTCTAGCACTTCTGGGCGCACATGTCCCCGGCAGAGCGCCCCCACCAGGCCTGCCGCGTGGTGGGTGCTGGCAGGGACTCTGGCACGAGGAAGGAGGGACCCAAGGGCTCCAGACAAGAAACAGAACCGAGGCGACCCATACACCCTTCCCAGAGCCCAGGCCCGAGTGGGGTGTCAGAGTACGGCGCGCTGGCTGGGGGAGCCAGATCTGTGCCCAGCCGGGCGCAGTCTCAACCCCCACCTCAAGTTCAGCGGCGGTTCCTCTCTCAAGGTCAAGCTCAAATGCACTCCGCTGAGTAAAAGGAGCCGAAAGTGGAGCGGCCGTCCCAGTTCGGAATCTAACTGAAACCCCATCCGGGCGATCTGCCCCCGTGTCAGGGCTCCCCGCCCCCTGGGGCTCGGCCAAGGAGCTGCCCCGGCCCCGCGCGGTCACCCAAGAGACTCCAACAAGTTGTTAACTTTTGTCCGGTTATTTCGCGGCGCCTAACGGGGTGAGGGCGGACTCCGAGTTTCGAGTGGCACCAGTGCCCCCCCTGCCAAGCTCGGCTGCGCCCACCCCAGTCCCTCGCGGCCC